ACAACGCAAAAATAGCTATAACATTAGCTCTTTGAGCCTTCGGCTCAGAAGAGCTTAAAACCCATTCTTTACGCACTGAATTGATACAATTTTCACTCCATACTGAATACCAAACACTGTCCCTGGGTATGGATATTTTGATCCTGAAATCAATAGGTTTTCTCCTTTTGTCAACATTAATCTCTGTAGGAAGAATTAGATTGAACGGCCAATGAGTGATTATCTGTTTTACTTTGACCTTTAGATCCTCAAATGTAAAGGCATAGGCTTGTTCAAATGGGATTTACTCTCCAGCAAACAGATATAGACCATATTATGTCCACAGCACTTTTATGGACTCATGGTAATTAATTCGGACCTTTCCATCCATTATATATATTATAAATATGTTTCAAAATATTCTAGGCATCTATAAGTATCTACTCTTGATAAAATTGTTTTAATTGCATTGTAAAATTACCAGCATATGAGAGAGTTTTGTATGAATTGAAAAACAAGGAAAAATTCTTAATTACATTATGGGATGGATGACTGGTCACCGAATATTTTTTCGTAGTGAAAATCAAACACTAAACGCAAAAAGACCACAATGAAGGTAAAAGATACGCTCAATCTTTTTTTTTTTTTTTTAATTTTTACGGTTAACGTATTTTCTTTAATAATATACCTCAGAGAGTATGGCGGAATGATTTCATAGTTTTTTATTCCATTTATTAAGAGAACAACTTATTTGTATATGACTATTCAATAATTAATAAATTGAGAAATTGAAACGTATTTTTTTTCATAATACATGTATTTATTTGATATTCATCATGAATTGTTTATGTAAAACTAATGAACCTTCTAATTTGACAGACAAAAATGTTATGTTCATAACATTTCCATAAATGCTCAATTTTCAAACTAGTGAAAGATTTTAATCTATTCCCCCTTTCCATTCCTCACGTATGGTGGTATATTTCTGCATCCACTTGTCAGATGTTTATGTCGACTTGTCAGATGTTTATTTTTACTTGTCAGATATCAAAGTCAGCTTGTCGGATAATTCTGTTGACTTATCAGATAAAAATCACCACGACATCAACTTGTCATCATAATATCTGACAAGTCGACATAATTTTCTGACAAGTAGATATAATTTTCTGACAAGTTGACATCATTATTTGACAAGTCGACATAATTTTCTGACAAGTCGACTTGTAAGATGTTATGTCGACTTGTCAGATAACGAATATGACTTGTAGAATATTATGTTGACTTTTCAGATAACTATGTTGACTTTTCAGACAACTATGTTGACTTGTCAAATGCTTAGGTCGATATGTCAGAAAATGTGTTGTCAACTGATGTCATAAACTGGGCATGGACACATTTTCATGTTGAATCTTTAAGCACACGAATAAGAGATAAGTCAACAAAAAGATCTGACAAGTCGACATAATTATCTGACAAGCTTAAGGCAGAAATATGCCACCATACTCACTATAGCTGAAATACAGTTAAAAGCATTCCAGATATATATACAACTTTTGACCACTAGCAGTAAAAGTAATTTGATGACAAATATCATGCTTACATTTTCCTGTTGAATTCACTAACTGTATATTTTTTTTATTCATATAATTACAAAGAAATAAATAAAAATAATCCATTCAGAAGAAACAGAGCAAAGTTTGTCAATTTTTGACGTAAAAAGTTTAAAAATTATCACTTAAAAATGAGAAGATTTCAATAGCATATGTACATATAAGAAAATTTTCATTTGTCCATATAAAGGGTATTATGTTCAAGAGCTCTATGAATAGGAGCTTTTTTTATATGCATATAATGGAAGGTTTCCTAGAAGGAAATGGTCAATTTTCAAAACATTCACATTACTTAATTATATACTTCCTATATTCCATGCAGACCTATTACCGGTATCTGTAATATATAATGATTCAACCGTTAACTGTTTACATCCAACTTGAGCCCGATGTTCTAATCGGGTAAACGAAGTAAACCATCAAAATAAGTATCCAACAATGGCCCCACAGTTGGTATAAACATGCCAGACAATTCAAAGACCAGGTTGTACATGTATTTGCAAGCAAGTTCATAATAACGAGCATAGAATTTGCGAAATGTTAACTTTAAACGGAATTGCTATAAGTCCTGTAACACCAATTTATTTTTAAATAGCACGTCTCAGTTTAAAAATCAATTCTACAGAGCATACTCCTGCATAAAATATGGAAATAATGAACAGTATTCAAACTCAAAAGTCCATTGAAACAATACAAATCGGGAGCAAAGCAAACACGGACCTCTTGAAACATCAGAGGAGGGATCAGGTGCCATGGAGAATTAAGCATCCCCTGCCAACCACTCGCCGTGTTCTTACTGTCATGATCGGGGAAACGGAAAAATCCGTAGACAATTCAGTATTTAAATAATGATCTAACAATTAGTATGAAAAACGTCAGTCAGCATTCGACTTAATGATAGATTGTATTTGCTCACAAGGTCATTGTACCGACCATAGCACTTGCGAAATGATGACTTAAAACAAGACTGTTGATATCCTAGTTTCATCTACTTGTTTGTCAAAAGCTGACTTTTCGATTAACGGAAACTGGCATTTTTAAAGTGATTTAATCTTTAATATTTTGTCTAGACTGTTTTGACATTATGATTATGATACTAGCAATAGGGATTAACACTTCCATGTGTAATGTTTACCAGTGAGTGATTGTTAAATGTAATGAGGCAAAATAATGCAAAATGTAATTTGCAAAAACATAGCTTTTTCAGTATCTTAGTTATTACTTTTTCAAAGTATATAAAAGTTTTAACTATTATATATATAATAGTTAAAACTTTGATGTACTTTGAAAAAGTAATAACTTTGATACTTTAGTTTATCTTTTCATTTACTACAGTATACAATAATATATAGTATTTACATGTATATTACAAAGTGTATGAGATAAAAATATGTCACGATGGACCCTGCATTATACACTGAAAGGGAAAAATGCATATTTTTGATTGGTCTACTACAATCAAGGTTGCCGGCATTGCGCAGTGGTTAGAGCGTTTGCTCTAGAGTGGCCATGTACAGAGTTATCCTTTCGTCGCGGGTTCGAATCCACCTGCGGAAAGTGGAGAATGGTCCTTCTGATGAGTCCGTATTAAGCTAGGTCCCGTGTCGCAGTAGGCGCTGGCACATAAAAGATCCCTCACCTCAGTGAGGTCAGAATTTGTAGCCCTCTATAGCTACCGGCAAGTGGTGGCCATATGAGTGAAAAATTCTCGAGAGGGACGTTAAACAACAACCAAAACTACAATTGAGTATAAACATGGTAAAATTGTTCTGGATTTATATTGGCTTTAAATAATGTCTAGAAATTAATACTCGATAGAAAATCACCAACTTTGACTCTGGCGTCAAAAAGTAATTTGCATGTGAGCTTCGGGTTGAAAGCTATGTATCAGGAATTGTGGATAAGACGAACCATTTTTGCAATCTCTGGTGATGTTTTTGAAAATGTCCGGTGAAAATTTGAACAGAGTTAGACCCTCAAAGATAATACGCCTTACTGAAATTCTAAGAGGTCTGATTATAATCTTACTAATGCAACGACATCATCAGAATGAACTTGCTGAGCAATTTAAAATGTTCCAGGCCAATTCACTGTATCGCAGTTAGAACGAAGATCATTGTAAGAAGGAGCGTTAAACACCACCCAAGAAGCGAACGTTTTCAGGGGGCAGCGGTACTTCCGCACAGGGAAATCCTTGTAATCCACTAACGGAACAGGTTTCAAACTGCAAGCGAAACTGCTAGTACCATTTCTGGACACTTCAATGCTGATTAGAGAGAAAACGGTCCGCAATAGTCCCACTGAGGAAGGCATCAAAACATACATGCCTTCCTTTTACAACCAAGCAATTATGGGACGAATTTGACTTCAAACGTCACCACTGAGCCGAGGCAAGCTCTTATGGTGGTGTAAAATCTCATCCCTTTTCGAAGACTCAAACATCAGATTTTTTTGTTTTTTATTTTGTTTTGTTTTTGTTTGTTTTGTTTTGTTTTGTTTTTTTTTTTTTGTTTTTTGTTTTTGCTTAAAACGATACCAGCTGCTGTGAATGCGGAATGACGACGCCCGCAATATAGATTTTTGAAATTTTGAATACTAAAATTCCGACCCCTACTCCTTACAGTATTAACTGCCGTGCAAAAATGACGTTTAATTCAATATTATGCCTTGCTTATGTCAATTATGCTTGAAATAATACGCAAAACTGTATTTAGCGATCATTCTGTCACATAATAATAGATGGAAACTTCTCATATTTATATGTGCGTTTCTTTTTCCTTTCAGTATATGAAATCAGTAAACATAATTTCATCCAAAAATATCAATAAAAGATTGTGAAAAAGTAATAGTGAATTATTACAAATTATAATCAGACGAAATACATGTACAGTTGTATTATGTAAAGTCAAGGTACTACATAAGCATGAAAAAAGATTATGAACAGTGATCAATCTAAATATTCTACAAACAAATACATTTGTGAACAGGACATAAACCTCGGATTCCCAGAAATTCCAGAGGTGGGATCAGATGCCTAGGAGGAAAAAGCATCCTCTGTTGACCGGTTACACCCACCGTGAGCCCTTTGTATTGATTAGGTAGACAGAACATTCCATAGACAAATTTAGTATAAAAACAAAAGCTTAACAACTGGTATAAACATTTCAGCAAAAATAACACCCAATTATAGGCGTTATTTGCTACATGTAACAAGGTCATTATATCGACTATAGAATTTACGAAATGCTGCCTTACAACGATGTTCTTGAAATCTCTGTAACAGCAGCTTATCTCTCAGTAGCCTGCTTCGGTTTAAAAATGAATTGTATTCAGAGCAATCTATTTAGTATTGAATAAGATGGGAGATACAATATCAGATAATTTGGAAATAATCGTTCCATGCTTGCATTTGATGGACATCATTTCTGTACACATTTCCGAATATTTAGATCTGTTTTAACATAAATGAATGTGTTTTGAGATAATATATTCCATATACATATCTTTCAATTAATCATTCCTTAACATATTTGATCAGTTTCTCCCAAAAGTCGTCATAAGCGCAGGATTCTTCGGGATATTCAATAAAACAATCTTTTTTCACAAGGTCCATAACTTTACTCGGATAGCCACTGCTGTAAACTTCCGGTAACAAGATCAGAATAACAAAATTTGTGTTTCCACGATCCTTGATTTCCTCCACTTTAGCCATGTTGAGCTCGTAGTCACGCCACTTTGACTTTAAATATCTTTTGGAATCAATACATAGAACCTTTTCACTTTCATCAATTCCAGTCATTATAGAATCCACTTTTGATAATCCTGGGAGATAATCTCTATCTCTTACAAGAAGTCGTAATCCAGCATTGGTTTCAAGCCGAGGTATGACATCTCTCCGTACAAAAGTTCTCTCCATACCAGCATAAGATAGAAAGGCGTCGTATTCATAGTTTAAACTTGTAGAATTATGAACATTCCGTATGTCCCTAATTCGGAATTTTAGTTTAGTTTTGTATATAATATAACGAATTTTTCATCTATTTCTAACCAGTAAAAATCCTGTCAACAAGCTTATACATACAGCAAGTGAAACAGAGCCTGCTATATACCAAGTCAAAAATGATCTACAGTTGCGCTCTAAAATAGAAATGGACCGATCCAGTTTTTCAAATGAAAATTTGAATTTTTCAGGCGAGCACTGATATTGCTGAATATCTACAAAATTAGCTTTATTTATCCTTAACCATTTAAGAAACTTTTCATTCTCACAGGAACAACCTAATAGATTACCAGAAAGATCAACGATTAACTTAGATCTCCGAAAGGCGTTCTCCAAATCTTCGCGGGTTTTTTCATCAAAAGATCTTATTCGATTCTGTGATAGGTCGATCAAAGATAAATTTGCCATATGATCAATTTTTAAATTCCATCTTGATATCTGGTTGTCACTGACATTTAAATACTTCAGCCTCGAGGAATTTTTCAGCAGCAAGTTTGGAAGTTTAGAAATTCTACAGAATGAAATGTCTAAGTTCTCAAGGGTTAAAAAAGACTTAAGCGTTTCTCCCATTACATCTTTCTCCAAATCGTGTCCTATGTCATTGTGGGACATATTTAAATTCTGGACTTGGCCACCATCATTAAGTATAAATGGAGATACGTGGGAGCAAAAATTATTTGAAAAATCCAATGTTATTTGAGTATTTGTATGTTGAAAATAAACAGGACCTTCCAAAGAGTACCCAAAGTTATTCCGTGGATTTACAATCGGTGCAGAGACTCGGTGCAGAGATAAAAATTCTTGAAACCTCAAAATAAATTTTACTAGCGTAAGCATATATTTCTTCTAAATTTTTTGGATAAATGATAGTCACGTTCGTGCTAGTGCCTATTGTTTTAGGAGTTTGGTAATTTCTAACTTCTTCGCAACTGAAAACAGCATCATTGCACAATTCAGTCTTTTCTCTACAATTATTAATAAGCGAATCATCAAGCTCTGGTGGGTACTTTTGAAAGCTCACGTTGTATACTCTCAAGTTTTCTAAACTGCTAAATTCAAAGTAATATTTCCCAGTTGTTAATTTGTTTTCGGCCACCGATAATTTCTCTAAAGTTTTTGGAAGATTTCGTAAAACTCCTGGAGCAAAATATTCCAATCGGTTACTGACTACATATAATTCTTTCAGGTTAGTGTATTTAAGAGAAAAAAGATGATGACATTTTATTTGTGTTCCAACTCCGGCTACGCAATTTATTCCATTGATATTCAAAGATTTTAGCCTAGTTTTGTTCAAATTATTTGTTACATTAGGCAGGGATGCAAACCCTAGCTTGCGATTGTAGGAAATATTAAGATATTGTAATTTTGGCATGTTGCTGAATGATCCCTTATCAGTATCCTTTACATTGCAGTAGGAAATATCCAAAACCTCAAGGAATGGAAAAGTTTCAAACATTTGCGAATCGATATAATCAAGATTACAATTTCCAACATTTCCCGACATATCTAAAACTTTAAGATTCTTTAAACGCAAGAAACTTTTTCCAAACTTTGTGCTTGCTATTCCATTCATTTTTACAATTGAAAGAAAATATAGATTTGCAAAAGCACCTCCTGGAAAAGCTATGTTATATTGCCTGCCACTGTTTCCTTTTAAGTTCAGTACCTCTAAGGACGACAGACTTTTAAAAAGTTTCTCGAAATTTGAATATTTCAACTGATTTCCCTCTAAGTTGAGAAACCTAAGTTTTGTTAAATGTTCGAACGCATTTTCATCAACAGTCGTTAAGTTATTATCAGATAAGTCGAGGGATATTACCCTTTTTGGCAGTTTTGTACTCTTTGACTCAATACTTCTTATCTTGTTGTCACGTAACAACGTGATGCTGTCATTCATATATGGTATAACAGTAAGATTCCGTTGTGAACAATTCACACGAATTCCATTTTCGTATAAAAAACAATCACACTCAATCCTATCAAACCAACAAGAAGTAGTCTCCACTGCCTCAATTTGAAAAAAATCTATAAATATTGTCACAGAAAACCAGATGAGATTCCGTACTCTGTTATTCTTCATAGTTTTTGCTGCAGAAATGTCGTTATGTTCTGTGTGTTTCAAGAGAAGATACTAAATGATGTATTACTTAACATGTGTAAGTTAAAAAGATATTCATGTGCATGAAGAAATCGCTTAAATCGTGTAATACTTGTACAAGTAACGCGAACATTTCACGTTGTAAAAGTTTTAATTACATTTCTGTCGCCCACGTGGCGCAGTGGTTAGAGCGCTTGCTCTAGAGTCGCGGAGTAAGGAGTTGATCCTTACGTCGCGGGTTCGAATCCCACTGTGGTACGTGGAGACCGGTCCTTCGGATGAGACCGTATAAACCGAGGTCCCGTGTCACAGTAGGTTCTGGCACGAAAAAGATCCCTCACTACTCATGATCAATGGCCCTGAGTGCCGAGTTTAGGTCAAAATTTGCAGCTCTCCACCGGCAAGAGGTGGCGTCTCCATATAGGTGAAAAATTCTCGAGAGGGACGTTAAACAATAAACAAACAAACAAAATTACATTTCATTCTCATAGTTTTATGACATAGGTTTTGTATTTGTTTGAGATACGTGTAAAATTATTATGTGCTTCGAAGGAAAACTTTGAGGACAATTACATGTATGAGAGACAAAACAAAACATTTATCTGTTTGCTGAAATGTTTTTTTTCAGCCATGTCAGTCATACGTTATTCAGAGCTTATGAAACTTAAAATTATTGTTCTTTATTTGAGGAATGAGTTGACTTTGATGTTCATTTTGTACTTACGAATATCTAACTTTCTATTTTTTATATCGTTTGATTTATATGGAAGACTTTTGCAAGAAAATGTGATTGCTGAGTAAAACCCCAGTCACATTTCAAAAAACGATCGACGGCTGACGGTTTTTAAGGCAAAAATAGGATTCTTCGGGCGACAGTCGGCAGTTCATCGGCCGTTGTCTTGTCCGATTTTTACCTCTTTTTGTGTCGGCCGAACAATTTTATGTCAGTCGGGCAAAGTTATAATTTTTCTGCGTCGATGGCCGATTCTTTCAATTGAAGCAGTCGTTGAATAGTTCGTCGCCCAATCTTTGATCATCGTCCGACCATCGGCATACAGTCGTTGGTCGGTCGACATCTAGGAACTGGGTTTTCTTTAATGTCGGCCGACGGTGAAAATCAAATTGCAGTCCAGCGAACGATGATCTGGCGAAGGTTGGCCAACTAATAAATATTTTTACTTTTATAGGTATCGGTGTTCCTAGGAATTAATGTGACTATTCTGCGTCGCTCGATACTAGTGTCGGCATATCCTGCTTATTCAGCCGACGATACGAGAAAACTTTGGACACCCAACCATCTGCATAAATGTGACCCAGGAATAAGAGCTAGGTTTTTTGAAGTCAGGTATTTGCCTTGAATCACTTACTATACATTCCATTGAAATGGCACTTTACAGACCCATTTCAAATAGGTCACCATTTCTATTGAATTTTTAGTCTCTACCATCATAGCTTAGATCATACACAGTTTCAATGGAAAACTTAACACCTGGCTCCGGGGCCATAAAACTTAGACAAGCTCATTTTTTATCTCAGTCTCACTTTTACCAAAGGAATTAATAGTGGAAAAAGTGAGACTGAGATCAAAAGTGATCTCGTCTAAGTTTTATGGCCCGGGGCCCTGATATCAGGATATCCTACATGAACGAATCTTATGATTACCCCCATCTATAGACACAACATTGAGGGATTTAATTTTTTTTTATTCTTCATTAAATGTTTTTCAACACAAATTTTAAACAAATTTGAATAAAAAGTGTTAACCAAAATGCAAATACGTAACACAACAGATTATTACATAATAATAAATGTAAAGTTTTGTCAGGTAACTTTTGATAAAATGTTCAACTTTGTCACCCTTTTTGGCCGCCGAGTAGGCTTTGAATCAAAATCAATGCTGGTTATAAAACAAGCATGATTTGAAGTTTTAAATTGCAAATTGTCATAATTTTGACTGTATTTTTGTTTTATATAAGTGGCCGAATTAGGTCCTTACCATATTTTTTCCTTTATATAAGTTTATATCTTTTTTATAATGTTCATTAAACACAAGTAAAGGATTTAATTAGTTTAAATCTGAATGATACTGCATTCAGTATAATTAAATTAAATGGTTAGTAATCTATCCCGGGTTGATGTAATGGTCTTTTCTTTAGGAACACTTATTTTAAATCTATTCATAAAAAGTTAATTCTTGATTTATCCTTCTTAAAATTGTATCTTTTTTATTACTGATAAGGGGTGATGCTAATTTTTACTCATAATACATAAAAATGGTTTTCCCTTATATTTATGTAGATTAACACAACTTCTTAACGAGCATGATTATCTTTATTTATTCCGCAAGAGAAGTTTAACACGGAACAGGATTTTACCACTTATGATTACAATTACCTAGAGAAGTATCAGAGAGAAGTAAAATATTACCAGTAGTGAAATACTTCCTCATATCACGCGTAGACTCTTATCTAGAAATAATCGTATATATACATGTAACCACGCCCATATAATTCAAAACATGTCTGCTGCTCATCCAGTGTGATACAGACAATATAATAATATAATATAATATAATATAATATAATATAATAAAATAAAATAAAATATAATATAATATAATATAATATAATATAATATAAATTGTATCTATGTTAAACTTTCCCATATGTACAAATAATCAAATGGAAATTGATGAAGACGTGCCAAATGATGAGAGGGTTGAAGGAGTAATTTTCATAATCTGGTGCATCTTCGCTAGCCAAGGGTTTCTGTTCCGCTACTCTCCTCACAAACCCTTGGCATACGGTGTTATTAAAAGTTGGGTTTTTTTTCTCGAGTTGTGATTGGAGTTGATCGACATCCTTCGACCAATCAGCAATTGCTTTTGTAAATGATGATATTTGCTTTCGGGATATATCTTGATTCTTTAGTCTCGGGAATGAAAAACACAAGTAAACAGCGATTCGTAAGATAACATGCCACTCTATAAAAAGATTGGTGTCATCCAGTCTTAAGCTGATGTATTAATATTGTGATCAGGAGTCTTATTGTAGATGTAGATTTGCACGATAATTAACAAATAAACATTGCTCGATATCTTCTTGTTAATTATTCTTTAAAAACTTTAAAAATTCTAATACGCCTTTTATTTTTGTCTATGACGCAATTTGTGCGTATGTTGGAAGATTCGAGATCACGTGTCGTAAACAATCCAAACTTTTGACTGCACTGTATGCCAAGGGTTTGTGAGGAGAGTAGCGGATCAAAAACCCTTGGCTAGCGAAGATGAATCTGGTGTAACAGGTCAATATATGAAGATATATATATATATATATATATATATATATATATATATATATATATATATATATATATATATATATATATATATATATATATATATATATATATATCTTCATACAGTAACATTATATGAATAAGAAATGCTAAAAAGTCTTGAATGTCTTGAATATATATATATATATATATATATATATATATATATATATATATATATATATATATATATATATATATATATATATATATATATATATATATATATATATATATATATATATGATAGAGATAACGAACGGTATTCAATCATTCTATTGTATAATATTGTTTTCCTTTGTTTTCTCATTTTTTAGCGCTATTCTCCTTCAATTTTCTTTTGAATTAACTTACAGTTTCAAGTACATGTGTATCTTCTCATTTCATAGTTGTCTCATTTTACACGGTGGGTGTGACCGGTCGGCATGGGATGCTCACTCCTCCATGGCATCTGATACCACCTTTGATATTTTTGGAAGTCTGTGTTTGCTCTGTTCCCGATTTGTATTGTTTTAATGGACTTTGAGCTTGAATACTGCATATTTCATTGTATCAGAAATAAGTTTTTATCCAGACATCACTCAGTTCAATGCTGCACACTGAACCAAACATGTAGTATTATTGTGGTCAGCAATGGTGAAATGATAATATTTTCAATGCTTAAGAATATTTGATTTCCTGAATTGCATGTATAAAGCTTGTCATTGTAACAGTATTTTAAGTGATACAGTAACATTATATGAATAAGAAATGCTAAAAAGTCTTGAATGTTGCCATTGAAATTCCTAATCTGGAGTAATCAGGTAAAACTTTTAGTGGGTTTTACTATACAGTTTATTTTCTAGATTGACAGAACTTGGATGAAAACAAAAATGGTTTATACTATCAACTTTGAATTAGATTCTTCATTCATTTCATGTTTTCTGGATGAGTGATTAAGAGGAACATTTTGAAAGCACACGCCTAATAGCTTGACTTTATGCTATAAGTCAGGAATTTACAATGAAAATAAAATACTTTTGATAAAGAAATTGATCAATTATAGAACATATACATAGATTGAATCATAAACATTTTCAAAAGAAAAACTGCAAATACGTTTTAGTGCTTACACAATCGTACTCCTAAAAATGTACAGAGACATAAGTATAAGAAAAAATCACTTGGATATATATGGAAAGCACTAAAAAAAAACCCCCAACAACACTGTATATCCTAAGTGTCGGATCTACTAAGTAGATACAACGTCAAGGATGGAAATTTATATAAAGCACTAAAAATGACCAACGACACGAACAATAGAAATTGTCAAATTTTCGGGACGCCCTGTCCCTTCTTCGGGACAAAGAAAAAAGTTATGAAGTCATAAAAACAAAGGAAACAGAAAAAAACAACAACTAGCACTACTACTGAACTACCCAACACTATGTATTTACAATGTTACATGTTTAATTTGAAAATTATAACCAGTTGTAAAGAAAGAAATCCGGACCGCTATGAAATACGTCCGGTCTCTCGGGTGTACTCTGGTGAAGTGCGATTTGTATAATTGAACGAATTAATTATCGCTAATTAATTACGGCCAAGTAGTAAATCGTACACTGTCTTATTCTCTCAAAATAGAGTAACTATACATGATAAAAAGAAACCAAAGAAAGATAATACGGAAGGGAAATTTTACAATATGAATTTAGATGTAGTATACATTTGGAAATGTTTTTAGGACTGTTAATCGGGGAAAAAAAAGAAAAAAGAAAAATGTAAGCATTAAATCTGTGTGTGGTTTGTTCCAGAATTGATAATGAAAATTAACGGTAAAGTTAACACTATATAGAGAGAATAAACTTGTTTGTTACAATCACGAATTGGGTCTAGTTCACGTTCATCCTGGTAAAGTCATTTAGTTTGTTGATACCATTAGGGCGGAATGACTTCAGTCTGTGCATCCAGAACTTTTCCTTGCTTTTTCTCTGATATTCGTTCCAATTCGGATTATGGTCAATAACCACTACTGTCGTGTCCTCTCATTTGTGACCTTCAAGTTTAAAATGTTCCCCAACGGGTTCAGTGAGTTTCTTGGTCTTCGTGGTCGAACGGTGATTCTTAATTCTCCTGCGGAGATCTCCTGTTTCCCCAACGTACTGTTTGGAACAAACTTTACAACTGATGAGATATATGCAGTTGTCTGTTTTACAAAAAATTCCCTAGAATTCCGTAGCTGCGGCCTGCAACGGGGCTGTTAAAGCTGTCTGTGTCAGAGTTGTGCTTACAGAGAAGACATCTTCTGTCAGAGCAAGCTCTAAAGCCTCCGTTAGGTAATGGATTGTGCAATCTGGTTCTTATTACCATGTCCTTTAAGTTCCTCGGGCGCCTGTATGCAGCCAATGGAGGTTCCTTAAAGACCTCTGCCATTCTTTTGTTAGAGTGGAGAATTGGCAGGTTCTTCTTAAGAATACCGCTGAGGTTCTTAAGGACGGGATGGTATGTGGTTACCAGAGGGACCCTGCTGCTATCTTCTCTCTCTTTGTAGAGTAATAGGTTTTGTCTGTGGTGTCCTGCCATCTCATCAATAGCAGTTTGTACATTGTGGGCTTTGTAGCCTCTATTGCATAAATGGAACTTTAGGAGACTGCTCTATTCCTGATATAAGACAGGGGATGAACAAATGCGACGAATTCTGGTAGCCAGACCCTTAGGCACACCCTTGAATGTGTGTCGACATGAATGCTAGTCAGCATGAGGTAAAGGTGGGAATCGGCGCCTTTCGTGTGGAGACTTACCGGTAACTCGATTTCGCCATCAATCAGGGTAGATGTAGTATCTAAGAATGTGTTTTTGGAATTAGGTACGTCTAAAGTAAATTTGATGGACTGATTGAAGGTTTTGGCAAAGGAAATGAACGCTTCTAGGTTCTCGCGGCATTCCACCCGGCCACTTCATCTCTATATCGTCGATGAAACGCAACCAGCTAAGGGGCCTAAATGGTGCTTGAAATAACAAGTTGCATTCAAGTCTGCCCATGAAAATATTGGCATAGGATGGATCCATTATCGTACTCATAACGGCATATTAGTATTTGTTATTGGAAAATAACATTATAATTTTTGATAATTCAACAAAATTATTTGATATTAAATCATAATTGTAAAAACATTTAAATATAGCATAATGTATCACTGGTACCTGGTATCGTTCAATATTCAAGGAGTAATATTTACTATCAAATCAAAGGTGTTTCATTTCATGCAAAGATATTATGATTTATCTTTTTTGTGCCTGGTATCTGTATTCAAAACGCCAAGTTTCTTCATTCAGAAATTTCCAGACGATGAAATGACCTAATCATGAAAAGCAATAATATTTCAAAAAACAATTATATCTACTGATTCGAAATTTAATAGAAAAAATGCAACGATTTGATAAATAAAGCATCAAAACATTAAATTGAACTTGGGATGCTTAGTTTTAAACACCGGTAATGTTTCACCAAAGTGTATGTAATTGAGAGAGATTTAGTATAAAATAATTTATTCATACCAATGAAATGGATTGAGCAGCAGGTATAAATGCCTATCATCGTTCTCTCATCAAAGTGTTCTTGTTTCAAAGACATATTGCATGCTTTTTATGTTTTTTATACCACAATACATACTAAATGCATTTTTGTACATTATATATGGGAAAGCTTTCATGGCATTTGAATTTAGAAAAAAATATCTCACATCCACAATCCTTTAAAATGTCTGAGATTGGACTGTATAGAAGGCGTCTTTTGTCAAAAAGAAGGAACTTAGATTGATTTGGAATCCACAGAGCTTCAACAGTAGGGGATAACTGACTCGCTGATGTCAGTTTCACACTCTCCGTCTTCACCATTACTGAAACAGACAATATATATAATATCCGCCAAAAGGGTTACTGACTCTCTACGGAAATATATTGGGTATGATAAATATCATAAACAGCGAGGATAAACCGAATCATCGATGAGATTGATCAATATATTTTTGTATATATAATACAACGTATATAACTGGAGTTAACTTTGAATTCAAAAATTCAACAGAGTATATGAGATCGATTTGCGTTCTTGTTGATGTATGATTATTTTTCTTCAAAATAAAAAGACTCACGCTTGTGAAAATTACTAGTTATTTTGTTTGACATTCATATTTCAATCTAATCACAGGCATTTCATACTTACGATCTTCTTTTGCTTCCCCTGCAAGAAAAATATATTTTCAATTCTGTTGCATCTACCAATTAATAATAATAAATAGTAATTGCATTTCGTTTACTTTAAGCAAAGTAATTACTTTAATATATATTTGAAATAAATTAACATTGGACAAAAGCTAAAATAAAATCTGTTTCGAAATGTAAAAATGCTTGTTTGTTTATCCTTCAAGTTCAAATTCAATTGTTGTAAATAGTTTTGTTTTCCTGTTATAAAATACTTGGGGGAAAATGAAGGGGTTAATTCTAAGTAATACTAATTATTTGATCTGTTATCGTGAACTTCCTTCTCAAGATATATATTTTCTTATAAAAGATCGAGAAAAGCATTATTTAGTCTTATTCTTGATTTAATAAAATATAGGACTGATACATGTATTATATCTCAACGCATTAATTTGAATAAACTGCATTTTCACTTCAACCGATACTCCTCTTTAAGGAAATTGGTGAAAAGAGAAATTAACCTATGTCCAATTTCAATTTTGAATTTGAAAAAAAAATAATGTACCATAGTGATTGCTTTTCCTATTGGCAAAGTCCTAAATAATTCCAGAACATCTCCATGGCATAGATATGGTTATTCCAAAAGTTGTGTGGAATTCAGACTTACAAGAATATCTTTTTCTCTATAAAAGGGTTTTTTTTTTTTTTAAATCCATTAAAAAATTATTGATACATAAATAAACGTTTTTGACAATAAACATTCAATGAATGTAAAACGTGTACAGCACATATATAGAATGTATGGTTCCTGTCTTTAAATACTAGAATAATAGGGTGATAAGATAAGCGACATCTTGGCGAGGTTAAGGAAATTAAGCCGAGCTCTCTTTTTATTTTTTACCCAAGCCCAAACATTGCTTCTATTTCAAGAAAGTTATCTTGTTTTTGTTTATTCTGCAACATATATAGTTTTACATTTGACCTCCAAAATCAGTTACATCTGTCGTTGATATTATGACGTCATGGCGTAAACAATGCAATATAGATGTCGCCACAATGCTTTTAAAGACGTCAGAATGCACGAGGTTTACATTCTGGCATTGATCGAATATAGTTTTAGTTTAATGAGTTGCCTTTATTCGATCAATTCAAGCGGTGGTTGCAGTATATTTCGTATATACGAGGATAATACGAGAGTTGATCAACCAACATACTTATACAAAAAAATATCCCAGGAATTTAAGAAATCAAATACTTTAAATTAATCTCAAACGTACTTCACATCAAGGGATTTTGCAAGAATACCATTCTCGTCTAGATTACAAAATGTGTGAAGATTCGTCCCATCTTTCCGGGAGGTTGTACGCAGAAATCCTCCTAAAGGATCTCCATCAACAGTGAAATCACAACGATTTCAGATACCAGCAGCGTCTCATCAATCTGAAAAAGTGATACAGAGGTTTCAATGAATTCTGTTTATCAGTTTTTAAAAAAAAATAAAATTCGACGAACAAAGTTGCTATGGTTACTGATTTAAAATTTAAAAAGAATATATGAAATTCTTTTAAAACGCTCCTATAGTTTTGATCCAATTTTAATAAACCTTGGTATATGTATAAAGAAAGATTTTTTTCTCCTTGTTTTTATTTATTTATTTGTTTTATTTGGTTTATCCAACTCTTGTGTTGCAATGGCTAAGTTTTGTGAAATCAATCAATGATTAATTAAGCTTAGAAAGTCTAACAAGCCCTTGTGCTTTCGATCACATTTGGCTTTCGAGGAGATTTCTCCATGGTTAATTTTTCAAATGTGGAGAACCCTGCAAGTCTTATATCAAACTGTTAGAATTTCAATGCTCCCTAACTCTGATCCTTTATTGTATATTCCTATGAAGCACAATTTATTCAAAAACTTCTAATTGAGAAGAAGAAAAGATTTGCTGGCCCTCAGCTCGACATTCAGATATATCGACGACGTTTAATGAATTAACAATTATTACTTCCATTCATATGTCGGTTCCATCTATCCCAGTGACTTTTAAGAAAAACACCAAAGAGTCTGGCAAATTTATTTCATATTTGGATGTTTTACCGACTATAGACGATACGGGCTAACCAACCTCTACACTGAATTACAAACGAGATGTTTCCGTTTTTCCATCATCAACTTCCCTAATTTATAAAGTAATAAACCGTTATCATCCGTATATGGTGTTTATATCCCCCAACTTATTCGATATTCAACAGTATGCTCTGAATACGATCAATTCTTAAGCTGAGGCAGGCTATTGACAGATAAGTTGATGTTACAAGGATTTAAACAACCTTGTTTAAACTCTGCATTTCGTAAATTCTATGGTCGTTATAATGACCTTCTTAACAAATATAACCGTATTTTGGCTTTAGTGTGTTATACCATTTGTTAGCCTTTGTTTTTATACTTAATTCCAATACGGAATGTTTCGTCTACCTAGTCAATACATAGGGTTGACGGCGGGTGTGTCAGGTCGACAGGGGATGCTTAAACCTCATAGGTATTTGATTCCACCCATGGAATTTCCAGGGGACCGTGATCTATGCCCTGCTTACAGATTTGTAATGTTTGTGGGTTTTTTTTTTTTTTTTTAAATATGGATTACTGTTTTTTTTTATCTTCACCCTTTTCATGTTTCATGCCAATTGTAAGGTCATTGTTTATATTCTAATTTATACTAAGTACTCGGTCTACCTGACAGATACATAGAGCTTAAGGCGGGGGTGACCGATCGAAAATGGATACTTTCTCCTAGGCACTTATCTCACCTCTGTTGTTTCAAGGGTCCATGTTTTTGCCGTGTTCGCGATTTGTATTCTTCACTGGATTTATGATATTGGTCGCTTTTCGTTATCTGCAACATTTACATTTATAGGACGTCTTATAAACGTCATAAACAGACTTCTAAATTAAAAAAAGAGGTACAGGGGCAGGCTCAGAATTTCAGTTGGGGGCTGAGAAATATTTTTAGATGCTAGAACAAAATAACATATATAAAGGATTTTTCAAGTTAAAAGAAAACTTTTGCTGTTAAAATAATAAAGATGTGTTAAAAGGCATTGAAACTTAGTCTTAGTTGCCTTATTTCCTAAAACATCTTATTGAAGTACTAGTATTTCATACAAACAATATCTGATGATGTTTCACTAAAAATCGACGATCATCTTTTAACCTATGAATAATATCCTTCTTCTTCATGCTCAGAGCTTTTTGAAAAAAATATTTCAGACAATTAAAGTTACTATAACAGTAATAAAATGTCTTCAAATATTTGGTATCAAGTAGACGATAACTGGCATATGTCTTGGAAATAGCCAATGGTTTAAACCACTTCTCCTGTATTATTGATTGTCTGAAATCAAGCTTTATCAACGTCACGCTGATTATGCAAGAGTGCAAAATCCTATGTTTTATAATTTGATACTCTCCTAAGAGGACTAACTCTGAATGAAATAAATAATTATTCCTTTATAGATTTATCAAGTTGAATGGAATATGGACACAACGAGCATTATTCAAGCTCAAAGTCCATTTAAACAATACAAATCGGGAGCGAAGCAAACACGGAGCTCCAAAAACATTGAAGACTGGATCAGGTCCCATGGAGGAATGAGCATCCCCTGTCGATCAGTCACTCCCGCCATGTGCTCATTGTCATGATCGGGAAAAACGGAAAAATCCATAGACAATTCAGTGTGTAAATAATGGCCTAACAATGAGTATGAAAAACGTCAGTCAGGATTTGACTCAATGATAGGTTGTATTTGCTGACAAGGTATCGATCTTAAGAAAAAAAAATTAAATTTGAAATTAGAAATTGAAATAATGTTTTAGTCCAATTTTGCTCCCCCCCCCCCCCCAGGTTATGCAAAAATCGTTTGTATTTTACTTTAAAATAAATTTCTTTTAGAAAACCATAAGCGTTAAAACAACATTTTATATGACTGAGCAGAGGGCTTAAGACCTTTAATCCTTTTCAATGTACTTTTTCATGCACATTTTAATTTCATTACAGTTTTCCTCCTAAATTAGAACCGATAAGTACACTAGTAACCCAATCTTTGTGCCAAAACCCGTGAAAATACTCAGCAGCAAGCACACAAAAACTCGACATTGCTTCATTTTTTTTTTAAATGTTGATACATAATTCTTATTTTGTAAAGAGTGCTTCGGTGGTTTTGCAAAAAGCCTTTGCCCTAAGACCCACCTCAGGAGTTTCATCTAAGTAATGTATTCTTGTGGTAAACATGATCTAATAATCATATCGCCTATGCTTTTGTGCTTGCTATAATGTAAAAAGGTAATGTAAAAGGTGAAGATAACGGAGTTATTAGTCTCATAAATCCATTAAACAAAATCAATCGTGAACAGTGCAAAATCACAGACGGGATCAGGAACCTAGGAGGAGTAAGCATCCCGACAGGTCACCCACGCCGTAAACCCTATGAATTGATCAGGGAGGGAGAATTCAGTAGTCAAATTTAGTATAAAAGCCAATGGCCAAACAAATGGTATAAAACATGTCAGACAAAATAACACCCAACGATAGATTGACAGGGCCATTATAACGACCGTAGAATTTTGCAAAAAGTTGACTTTAAATGGGGTCGTTGAAATCATTGTAACATCAACTTACTGTCAGTAGCTTGCCTCGGTATAAAGACTGAGCGTATTCCGAGCATGAAATTCATTCCAATCTCTTTATTCTCGGGTAACCTTTTGAAACCATATTTATTTTTCTTTCTTTTTTAGTGTTTCCATTTTATCTGCTCAAATTGTGTCTCTGTGGTTATTTACTATTATATAAATAATTGAATTGTAATTAAAATGTAATAAAAATTGGTTTTGAGTGTCGGGCCCTGAACAAACGAGTTTGGAGACTGACATAATTTTTCTAAATTTGAAATTGAAAATAGCTATACCGATCTTTTGTATGATTTTGATTTAATAGCTTAGTTTACTCAATTTGGTCAAGAGGATCTGGAGGAAGAAAGAAATGACGATGTTTG